AACTGGGAAGATAACACAGTCATTGTAGGAGGCTTCTCTTCGATTTTTCACTTAAATGCCAAGTGAGTACTATAGAAAGTGCTCTTATCCGGCCCATTAGATAAAAAGAAAATATGACTACTAAGTGTTTGGGATTGGATTGGGGCAGAAAGTGAAATGATCCTTGACTGAAGCTTCATTTGGAGAATGGAATTCTTGGGGAAGGGAACACAGCGTAAAAGAATAAAATTATCCATGACTGAACATAATTGGTATATATTGCTGAAAATAGAGGATTAATGGTATTAATTCAGTGAGGTTATTTACCAGGAGTTGAGGAATCCAGAGGAGGAAAACATACAGTTGAAACCCAGGAAAACAGCTTATCTGTTGGAGGAATGTTTTTTGGTATATGTGAACACAAGGTTTCTCAATTTGCCCCCCCCCTTTTTTTTTTAAAGATTTATTTATTTGAAAGAGTTAAGAGAGAGAGAGAGAGAGACCTCCTCTTTTTTTTTTTTTTTAACTTTAATTTTTTTTTTTTTTTTTTTTTGACAGAGTTAAGACAGAGAGTCAGAGAGAAAGGTCTTCCTTCTGTTGGTTCACCCCCCAAATGGCCGCTATGGCTGGAGCTATGCTGAGCCGAAGCCAGGAGCCAGGTGCTTCCTCCTGGTCTCCCATGCAGGTGCAGGGCCTAAGCACTTGGGCCATCCTCTACTGCTTTCCCAGGCCACAGCAGAGAGCTGGTCTGGAAGAGGAGCAACCGGGACTAGAACCCGGCACCCATATGGGATGCTGGCGCTGCAGGCGGAGGATTAACCAAGTGAGCCACAGCTCTGGCCCCCTTAACACTTTTTTTTTTTTTTTGAGAAATACATCGTAGACCAGCTGGTTCCCTCCCCAGATGGTTGCAACAGGCAGAAGCCAGGATCTTTGTGGTTTCTTTTTGTTGTTGTTGTTGTTAAGATTTATTTCAATTACTTGAAATTTCGAGATAAAGCTTGGGGGGGGGGGGTCTTCTATCTGCTGGTTCACTCTCCAAATGACTGCAACAGCCAGAGCTGAGCTGAGCTGAAGCCAGGAATCAGGAGTTGTTTTTTTTCCCATGTGGGAGCCAAGAGCCTCCCACATGGGTGCAGGGTCCCAAGGACTTGGGCCATAGCAGAGAGCTGGATTGGAAGTGGAGCAGCTGGCACTCAAACTGGCACCCATATGGGATGCTGGCGCTGCAGGCTAGGGCTTTAACCCATTGCCCCACAGCGCTGGCCCCAGAAGCCAGGATCTTCATCCAGGTCTCCCATCTGGGTGGTGTAGGTCCAAGCACCTTGGGTCATTTTCTGCTGCCTTCTCAGGCATGTTGGCAGGGGTCTGGATCATAAGTAGAGCAGCTAGGACTTGAACTAGTACCCATAAAGGATGCTGGTGCTACTCTGCACCACAGTGGTCACCCCTTTGTTTTAATTTTGTTAAAGGCACAAGGGAACAGTAGTTTTTGAAGTTTTATGGAGGTAGTTTGAGATGTCATCTTCCATTTTCTTCATAATTATTTAGTCCTTTTTAAAGGCAATTTTTAAGGAGAGAAACTGTGTTAATAAATTAATTGTATTTATGTGAAGATGATTAATGGTGAAGTTATAGGGCAGTTGGCCTGGACAAGTTGATAAGGTGAAGTTGTGACTCATGTACATTTCTTTGTTTTAGGGGTGGCCTATGTATGCACAGCTACTGATTGATTTATTCAAATATTTAGCGCCTTTCCTTAGAAATGTGGAACTCACCAAACCTATGCAAATCCTCTATAAGGTAATTGATTTGGATCTATACATTAAAATGACTTGAGAACTTTAAAAGAGAAACTTTTAGCTGAGGATATATGGCCTTATTTTGTCTATTTTTTGTTGTTTTAAATATTTTTATTTATTTGAGAGGTAGAGTTATGGGCAGAAAGAGGCAGAGAGAGAGGGGTATTCCATCTGCTGGTTTGCTCCCCAAATGGTTGCAATGGTCAGAGCTGGGCCAGTCAGGAGCCAAGAGCCAGGAGCCAAGAGCCACCTTCTGGTCTCCAACATGGATGTGGGGGCCCAAGTACTTGGGCCATCTTCCATTAGTTTCCCAGCACATAAGCAGGGAGCTGGATTGGAAGAGATACATTCGGGACACAAACTGACACTTCAGGCAGAGCTGGCCCCTTTGTTTTCAATACTATAATGTATATTCAGAAAAGTGCAAAGATCAAACATGTATAGGGCCCAGAGCTTAGGGCATTCATATGTTCATCTTTTGTTTTGCAAAATACCTGTACCAGTTTGTGCTTCTCAGCAGCCTGTTAACTATTGTCTTTTTCTTGCCATACTGGTATAATTTTAGCCATTTTGGCAGTAATATGGTAGTATTTCATTGTGAATTCAATTTGCATTTTCTTCATTTCTTAGGTTTTCATATTTAGATTGACCATCTGGATAGCCATTTTAGTGAGGCTCCCATTGCATTATTTGCTTGTATTTTTATTGGATTGTTTGCATTTTTCAAATGAGTTCATGGATACAAACCCTTCATTCATGTGTCTCCACTGCTGAAAGTATCATAGTTTGTATTGTTATCTAGCAGCATGCCACCCCCACCCCCCTTTTTCTTTCACCCGAGGATTCATTTATTTCAAAGGCAGAGCAACAGAGGGAGAGATTTTCCACTCTCAGGCTCACTATAGCTGCAAAAGCCAGTGCTGAGCAAGACTGAAGCCAGGAGCCTCAACCAGGTCTTCCATGTGGGTGACAGGAGCCTAGGTACTCTGCACCATTCTTTGCTGCCTTCCCCGGGCATGTTAGCAGGGAACTAAATTGGAAGTGGAGCAACTGGACTTGAAACAGTATTCCTAACATGGAATGCCAGCGTTGCAGGCAGCAGCTTAACCCACTGTGCCACAATGCTGGCTCATCTAGCCTCTTCTAGCATATTCATTTAAGGTTCCAGACTTCTAATGCCTAGTTTTTCATGATTTCTAGATGTAAATATTTTGACCAAAAACTGTGATACTATCATGTTGATAAAGATCTATAAACTTGTATTTGTCATTGAAGTCTACTTTTTGCCTTTTTTTTTTAACTTCATAAAAAGAAAACTGTTAAATCCGTTTTCTTAGTGTGGAAATGTTTTTTTTTTTTTTTTTTCTTAAAACAGGGTACTTTAAGAGTGCTGCTGGTTCTTTTGCATGACTTCCCAGAATTCCTTTGTGATTACCATTATGGGTTCTGTGATGTAATCCCACCCAATTGTATCCAACTAAGAAATTTGATACTGAGTGCCTTCCCAAGAAACATGAGGCTCCCGGACCCATTCACCCCTAATCTGAAGGTAAAAAATTTGTATGCAGTTTTAAGAAAAATGACTTTTCTTGTCCAGTTGGGGATTCTCTTCCAAGACTGGAGCTTTAATGAGTGAGGGATGACATTCTATTCTAGACTCTATTTTGAAATCTGGGTCAGGAAAAATTGGTTAGTGGTTCAGAGTAGAAATCCCTACAAAAAGTACTCATCTTGCCTTAATATTGAAAGGAAATACTGAGAAATCCATATCATTTTTATAGAGATTATTATAAGATTGGTTGAACTAGTAAAATGTGGCAGCTCTAATTTTCAAGACATTTGTACTGTATGTGGACTCTAAGTGATTGTGACTCTTGGTATTTGTGGCAGGTGGACATGTTGAGTGAAATTAACATTGCTCCCCGGATTCTCACCAATTTCACTGGAGTGATGCCACCTCAATTCAAAAAGGATTTGGATTCTTATCTTAAAACTCGATCACCAGTCACTTTTCTGTCTGATCTGCGCAGCAACCTACAGGTTAATTGCTTTGGCTTAAAACTCTATCATGCCTTCCTGAAAAGAATTTTCTATGCATGATCCTATATGTGGCCCATTTGGGAGTTAGTATTTTCTTTTTCTTTCTTATTAAAAGATTTATTTTATTTATTGGAAAGTCAGAGTTACACAGAGAGTGAGGCCTTCCATCTGCTGGTTCAATCCCCAGATGGCCGCAACGGCCAGAGCTGCTCTGATCCGAAGCCAGAAGCCTCTTCCGGATCTCCCATGAGGGTTCAGGGGCCATCTTGTACTGCTTTCCCAGGCCATAGCAGAGATCTGGATCAGAAGAGGAGCAGCTGGGACTAGAACCGGCACCCATGTTGGGATGCCGGCGCTCAGGCCAGGGCTTTAACCCTCTGCACCACAGCACCTGCTCTGGGAGTTAGTATTTTCAACCTGATTTAAGAACTGTCATTTCTATTACTGGGGTGAACTTTACTGGATTATATATTTTACTGGGCCATTTCATCAGTAACACATTGCTGTAGTTTTCCATGAAACCACCCGGCAAGTGACTGAATTTCCCTAAGAATAGAGCACTGACAGTCATTCCCTGTTTTATACAAAAATGGATTATGTTAACTCTGCAAAATGACTTGAGGTTGTATTGTCTTTCCAATCTTAACCATGTGACAATGCATATTTTGACTTGAGAGTTGTATCACAAGTACAGTGATACTGTGTGGTAAACCTCTGACTTCTTGAGGAACACCACAGCGTCAGCCCCAGAAATTGTGTGCTAACATCACCAACTCAAAGCATGTATCTGCCATTCAAATCACAAGGTTTAAGAAGTTTGAAAATACTGATGCTGTAGTTAGTGCTCTGCAGGAGTGAAGTTTTCTGTTTTGCTCACTTAGGTGTCCAATGAGCCTGGCAATCGCTACAACCTCCAGCTCATCAATGCACTGGTGCTCTATGTAGGGACTCAGGCCATTGCGCACATTCACAACAAGGGCAGCACACCTTCAATGAGCACCATCACCCACTCGGCACACATGGACATCTTTCAGAACCTGGCCGTGGACTTGGATACTGAGGGTGAGTGAAGCCCATCGGTTCTTAGTAAAGTGCTATATGCTTTTCATCACAGTGTATTCACAAAAGCATGTGTTAAGCCACAAAAGAGCATGTTCTGACAGCACATTTACAAGCCTGGCTGGTTATTTTATCCTTTTATTGGAAATTACCTTTTTGCTTAATACAGAAAACAGAGCAAGGCACAAAGACAGGAATTATCCAGAATCCTGCTATTTTTCGGCCAAAGATTTCATATTTTGCAGAAAGTTCACAGTACAACTCCAATTGCAGGCTGTATGTTTCCTAGTTGAGCTACATTTTTTCTGGTGCTCTGTATTTATTCAAGACTTAAGTTAACAGATTAGCTGTACAGCCCTGATCCTTTTAGCATAGTACACTTTAGAACCACTCTTAATATTGCTGTTGCATCTAAAGAGGGTGATTTTGATTATATTTGCTGTTTACCAGTTTGTAGAAGTGATTTGAGACAGCTTCAAATAACAGAATTGAATACTAGTACATGTAAGAATTTAGCAGTAAGAAGACAGTCTATAGGAAAGTGTTAAGGGTCACTGGTATCTCTTACAAACATGAGCAGTATCGAGCAAACCCAGTTATTCCAGTATAATGTAGTGGTTGTCAAAGCGTTTTCTGGGAACATTTGGTAGTATCCTTAATACCTTTTAAGGAGGGCTGTTAATAGTAAAATAGCATTTGCCATTTACCCATTTGCCATGGTTTTCCAGTTTATATGAAATGTAGTAGCAGATTACATGTAAAAGCAGAAAAGAGAATCCAGATGTCTTCTATTGAGAAAGACATTAAAAAGCTCTTCAAAAAGTAAAATGGTAGCATTCATCACTGAATATCAGGGAAGACTTTTTTATTAACATGTTTTTATTGTATAGCTCTTACTTACAAATTATGTTTTAAAATCTTGTAATGTGGGAAATACTGATAAAAACAGAAAAGAAAGCTTCTGGGATCCTGAGAACCACTGGTTTAACTACAAGTGTCTATAAGCAGCCTAAACTCCAGCCAGTTGGAACTGTTATCCCATGCTAGCCTTTTAAAGCAAGGCCTAAGTTGAGTTTTTGTACTTCCTAGGTCGCTATCTCTTCTTGAACGCAATTGCAAATCAGCTGCGATACCCCAATAGCCACACTCATTACTTTAGCTGCACCATGCTGTACCTTTTTGCAGAGGCCAACACTGAAGCTATCCAGGAACAGATCACAAGGTAAGATTTTTCACATGCTTCTGCCTGGACTTTGTGTTATCAGGCATCTTTTACATGTCTGGTAATATGTTAAATTTGAGATTGAGTTTTGAAGAATATGGAGATAGTTCCTGCCCTCCCCAATAATTAGGATTTTTTGTTTTATGCATCAGACTAAGTGGAGAATTAGAAATCTTTTTGAGGTAGAAAGTAGTTCACAATAAAAGGCATGTCATTTTGATTGAAAGTCAAGAATTTGAAGAGGTAAAAGGAACAACATTTTTAACCAGAGCCCTGAATTATGCAAGGCCAATTAAAGTCTAATAGTAGTTAGTAATCTGTTGTAGACTGCTTGGACTTCAGCACTAGAGACTGGGGAATAGTTAAGTCCCAACTGAATAAGATACATACAGGTTAACTGCCTGTTAAAGCTAGGAACTTCATCTGGGTCCCCCCACTGGGTAGCAAGGACTTAACTGCTTGAGCCAAGACCTGCTGTGCTTTCCTAGGTAGCTCTAAGCAGAGCTGGGACCTGAACCCAGAGATTGCAGTGTGGGAGACTGGTATCCTAAGTGGTATGAGTGAGATGCTGCAGCAGAGGTGCAACTCCCTCCCCACACTACTTCTGACCTTCACAAGAGTCTTTGATTCACTGGGTCTCCCACATGGGTGGCAGGGGCCCAAATACTCAGGCTACCTGCTTTTCTAGGCCATTAGCAGGGAGCTGGATTGGAAGTGGAGCAGCCAGGGCCCAAACCAGTGCTCACATGGGATGCCAGCATCACAGGCAGCAACTTAACCTTCCTGCACCACAACACTGGCCCCTAAAAGCACATTTTAAATGTGCATTTCTAGTACTTACAATGTAAAGTGTGATATTCTTCAGAATTTAAATGCCAAAAGTTACTGCTTATAGATGGTAATGTACACTTTGTGATTATTTCTTCCTTAGGGTAAATTTAGAAATAATTGGATGTGAATATTTAAGCCAATATTGTTAATATTCCATTGCTCAGCAAGAATCATGATTTAAACCCAGATATTCTAACTAGAATCCATCTGCATGAGCACACTGTATTGTATCAAGATCAATTCAGCTGTCTTTTTCCTAACTCATCTCCCTAGTAAGCCTTTACAAAAAATAATGGCACGGTTGTGAATTTCTATGTAATGCTGACACTTTCTTCTTTTCCCCAGGGTTCTTTTGGAACGGTTGATTGTAAATAGGCCACATCCTTGGGGTCTTCTTATTACCTTCATTGAGCTGATTAAAAATCCAGCGTTTAAGTTCTGGAACCACGAGTTTGTACACTGTGCCCCAGAAATTGAGAAGTGAGTTTTTGTTTGCATCATCTAAGGATGAGCAGCTTGGGTCTGTGGTTGAGATGCGTTTCTGATAACTGTGTTCCATTCTTCAGGCTATTCCAGTCGGTTGCACAGTGCTGCATGGGACAGAAGCAGGCTCAGCAAGTAATGGAAGGCACAGGCGCCAGCTAGATGAAACTATGTCTCCGTTGTAAAGGTGTCAGCCTGGAGGTCCCAGTGCACCAAGTTCATAAACTGAAGAATCCTTTCTGCTCTTCCTGACTTTCCCAGCCCTTTGGTTCTTGGGTATTTGCCCCAACTACTGCTGGGGTGAGCCTCCCTGTCTATGTGGGCACGTTCCAAAGTTTAAATGCATTTTTTGACTCTTGGCCAAAATTTAGAAGATGCTGTGAATATCATTTTCAACTTGTGTAAATATATGAAAGAGAAAACCTTTGTCTGCAGCTTCTTGGGTCTGTGCAAAATGTGTCCGAGGAAAGCATACTTATAATGAGGCAGGCAGTTGATGCCATGCGCTTGTCTGAAGGCATAGCTCGTGGTGTCTCTAAGAATAGTGTATTAACTTAGTTTTTTAAAATGTGAACCATGGGAATGGTATCCTGGGGGTTTCTAGTTTGCCCTTCCCAAACCTGTTCTAAAGCTGAACACAGAATACCACTTGTACCAACTAGCTTCTTCACCTTGGCCCCCTGAGATGCGGTCAAGTCTAACATTCCTTCTGATATACAACCTAATCTTAAGAATTCCCTCCATTACCTCACTGAATAGCCCTACAAAGTTGAACAAAAAGACAAAGGACCAATACTACCCTTATTTGTAAGGATTAAGTATTTTGTAGCCTTTTAAGTTCCTGGGCATTGGCTCCCCCCACTTCCTATATATGAGTCACTGTGCCTTTCTCAGGAGCAGCAGCCAGTGCTGGTAAAGAAAGTGGACAGCCCAGTGGAACACCAGCTTCCTGCTGAATGAGATCTTTCCCACTCCTAAGCTGACCTGTCTACATGTCCAACAGTATTTTTGTATAGTAATTACCTTTTCAGCAAGAGATACACCATTTTTAAGAAAAACTTACCTTTCCTTTAACGGTGGTCAAGTTTTGAAGACCAACAGTTCTCACAAAGGGCCATTTACAGGGTTGCCTAGATCCTAATAAAAAAGGTTTTGACCTCCTCAAGATAGATACAGGTTCAAACCAAGCTTCCTGCAAAGTCCCTGAGTACAGTAAGACGACCTATCACTACCGCATTTCTGCAGGCTTTAGTTAAAATCGAGACACTAGTGATTCGAAAGCATGCTGTTACCAGTCCTCGAACACATCACCCTTACCTCAGAGTTCATCCTAGCACATCTCTGCTACTTTTCCTTCTGGTATTTAACAAGAACGGCAAAAGATCCACACTTTCTTCCTTTTCAAGCAATAAAAGTTATCAGCCTAGAATAAAGTTCTTTCTTCTGTTCCTTCAGGCCATTTGGAACATACTAAAGAGTCATTTCCAACAACTGGTGTAAGATCATCTTCTGACCATAGCGAACCTGTAAGGCTTGCTGTTCCCTCCAGCTGAGTTTGGTGTAGACCTCCTTATTACTGAGTAAATCCTGCTCACTTTTTAAGTCTGTGGTATAGGTTTGCAGGGTCAACAGAACACTGTCTCGAAGCAACTGTTTCCACGGTGCTTTGAGCTTGGGGATATTTTTGAGTGTCAGGCTGCCCTCTTCTTCCCTTTTATCATCTCCCCATCCATCCTGGTCTTTAAATTCTCTGAACTCCTCAGCAGCCATGCACAGTACCTAGAAACAGACATGGAGCCCCTTAAGTTAGGTCATACTACTTATATATTTCCAAAATTGATGTCAAGTGTCCCCTCTCATCGCCTAGTTTTATTTTGCTCCCAGTACTCAAATTTGTCAGCATAATGGCCATTCTTGGCTCTTTACCTTCAGTGTGGTGGTCAGTTCCTCTTCAGTTAGCACCTCCTCACGTCCAATTACAAACGCACCCTCTTCTCCTACCATCTCCAGTTTGCACAAGAAATCCCAGCGCTCATACAGTAGGAGCCGTTCAGCCTCAACTTTTGCTTCTGTAAATAAATGGCGTCAAAGACTCAGTATACCAAAGGCTCATTTCTCCTTCAGTCTACAAGTCATTTGCTGTATCAGATTCAAAGAGCTAAGGAGACACTCACTCTGTAGTGCTGCTTCACGAACTGTCACCATTTGGATGTCGGCTGTGTCATCTGTGTTGTCAGGATATGGTTCAACAAAGCCATACATATGAATCAGTTGCCAATTAGCCATTTGTCCGTAAGTGTTGAAAATCTCATGGCCTTTAGGAATGGGCTGAGTGGCCACCATGCGAAGATAATCCTGGGGTGGAAGGGAGAAAAAGCCCCCAGCAGGTGTAGGTCAGCTATGGGACTGAGGCTGTAACTACCAATGGCCTTTTACTTCCTGTTGGTCTCACCCCTTTATGCTACAGCATAGGGCATAAATTAAAAAGGTCAGTCTCACTAGGTAAATCTGCTCAGTCATCTTTAGCACTTAGAAAAGTTGCCAGTTTTTAAAAGAACACAATAGGAAAGACAAACGGGGGAAAGGGTTAACAAGTACTCCCTCCCCGAAGAAATAACCACATCCACTAGTATTTTAATCCCGCAACTTCTCACATGAAATGGAACTGGTATAAAAGCAGCCCTGGGCTCATCTGAGACTTCCGGCCTCTGAATGAGCATCCCCAGCTGCTGCTGCCCCTCCCAGAATCTGCGCTGACAGGGCAGCTGCTCCAGGCTGCTATGCACACTGCACCCAAAACAGCCACGGGGGAACGGAACATTGTTATGTAGACCCCAGGGCCCTAAGCACTACATAAATCAGGAGTAATCCCGGCCTTGAGGGCTTTAAGCTGTTTCGTGTTGAAATTATTTTACTATAATATGCATAGAAAGGTACACCTGTGAGGAGCTAAATTCACCCATTCATTTCTGAGTAGGAAAATGGAGCCCAGTGACAACACTGGTTTGAGCAAATACGCAATCACCAATGCACTTAGGAAGAACTAGGTGGGATCCACTCACTGCAGAATATTCTAGATTGGCATTGTGATTGGCTAAGTGGTTTAGAATGTCTGCTGCAGGCACCATCAAAGGGGAGTTTGGCTCCTTTTCATCCTCCTCTTCCTCCAGTGGTTCTTGAAAGCTGCCACAGAGAGAACTTGGCTAAGGCCCAGTCTGGGGTGAGGGACTGGGGGTGCAGCTCACTTGTTCTTTCCCCCCTTGTCCCTCAACATTGTTCAAGGATGAGGGTTGGTCCTCCAGGGCTCTACTCACTGACCTGTAGGCCATCACAAGGGCCACGAGCTGATGGTAGAGTTCCAGGGAGTGAACCTTGGGGCTGAAGAGATCAGGATGGGCTTCCATGAAGGGCAGCACGATGGAATAGTACTCGCTGCGGATGCTGGCCAAATCCTTCTCCACGGCCTCAGGTACGCCCGTGCCCTGCAGCAGGCGCCGGCGCTCCTCCTCTGGCCTGCAGGGACACTCCCACCCAGGTGCCCTTCAAACACTCGCCAGGACGGGGGTTTGGGGGTCCCTGGCCCGGGTACTCCCCAACCCTTCCCACAGCTCTCACCAGAACATTGGGTGCTCCAAGCGGCCCAGCTCAGGCCACAGCGCAAAGTAGGGGCTCCATGGCGAGGCTGGGGCCTGCAGCTCGTGAAGCAGCGCCAGCAGCAGCGGCACCCAGCCCGACTGGCTCTGCAGCGCGCCTCGCTCTGAGGAAGACAGGGGTGAGTTGCCCGGCCCGGCCCGGCCCGGCGGGCCCGCGTAGGTGCCCTGTGCCGCCCCATGCCCACCTCGCTCCAGCAGGTCGCCGATCGAGCAGGTGTGCTGTGACAGGATCGCAGCCCGCGGCACCGCGAACAGCAGCTCGCCGCGCTGCACGCTCTCCCGCGCCACCATGCCGTAGCCCGCCACCGTGCCCTGCCGGCTCACGGCCACCTGGGCAGGGGAAGGGCAGGGAAGGCCGGGTCAGAGTGGCCCCTCGGCCCGCCGCGCCTCCTCCACCGCTCCACCCTACCCTCGCTCACCTTGGGACTCAGCTCCAGCCCCACTTGCTGGCACCAGCTCAGGAAGCCGGCCACCGGGTCCGCGCCGCCGCCGCCGCCGCCCTCCGGCCCCGCCACCTGAGAGAAGCAGGCTCAGTGACCAGGCGCTGCCCCGCAGGGTCCGCGTGAGGCCAGAGCAGACGGCGGCGCGTGCGCGTTGCGGACGACGGGTGCTGGGTGGGGGAGGGGCGCGCGGAAGCCGAGGCCGAGGACCCGGCGAGAGAGGAAAAGGGGCGCGCAGGCCGCCCGCCACGGCCGGGGAGGAGCGGGCCTCGCGCCCGCCGCCCGCCACGCGCCCGCCACTCACCCGCGGCCGTTTCGCCTGGGTCGCCATGGTCGGAGCGTGCACGTCCGGGCCGGCCAGTGCCCGCGCACCGGCGTTTCCGGCGTCCGCGGCCCCGCTGCAGGGGCAGGAGGCCTCTAGCCCCGCCCAGGCGCCGGAACCACGTGGGGCAAGTTTGGTAACGCGGGGAGCAGACGCTCTGGGATGCGCGGCAGGTGGCCTCGCGGCGCCTTCTGGAGTGGGGTTAGGGGTTAGAGCACGCGCAGTGGGCGCGCAAAGGCGTGTCCCGGGCTGCTTCCAGCCCGCTTCTGAGCCACGAACAGCCCCTCGACCTGTCCCGGGGGGGCGGGGGGGGGCGGCTCAGACTTCCCCCGCTTCGGGGTTGGCAGGTGGGGGCCTGGCAGTCGCCAACCGTTTGATCTCCATCTGCGTTGCCCACGGCCGTGTGTCCACCTAGAGCAGTTCGTGGATGTGTTAGGGTGGCGTGGCCTGCAGGGCGCCCGGATCTCCGAGACCCGCTCCGCCTGCACCTTCTGCGGAGCTCCTGGGGAATTTTGTTATTTACTTCTTTATTAGCTGATACACACACAGCATAGAGTATTTATTGGGTAAATGAAGAAAGAGTGAAACAAATGCTAAAGAGCAGCCGCACGTTGTTGATTTTAACTTGCAAAGGCGGCAGCGAGGGTAGAACGGCGCTCACAGCACAGGTGCGGGTTTTGAAGCCAAACAACGCCAGAGTTCAGCTCTCAGCTTGGCCTCATTAGAGCAGATCCCTTCAGAATGAGCGTTAGCATTGGAAAGGTGAAGAAAGTGCTAAGTCCTGGGACCAGAGATAGAAACAGCCTCTGTCCTCACTTGGCACACTGTATCCCAAGATGAATGCAAGCCGCCCGGACCTCACCATTGACCCAGCTTCATCACACGTACATTCTTAGTTTATCATTTAGTCAACAGTTAACGCTTTCTTTGTTGACAAGGGTTTTATTTGTTTTACGTTTTGTCATCTCAAAGTCTCATGACACCAGCCACCAGAATACACAAAATTAGGCTCTTCACTTTGTACAGAGAGGGAAAGAATAAATTTCAGTAAAAGTTCACCTCGACCAGACAACCTCCACTGAAAACCACACACGGGAGGACCCAATATACATATACATATATATATATAATGTATAGATATTTATAGATATTTCATCTGAAAGAACACAGCAAAAGAAAACGATTCAGGTTCGCAGAGCTATATCTACAGTAAGAGCTCTCAGTCACATTGAGTTTTCAAAGGAAGCACATGAGTGGATAGAACTGGGGACAGATTAACACCCGACCAGGCTCTGGAGCAATCTAGTGATGGCTTAAGGTTGCAGGAGGGAGGGGAGCTGTGCCCAGGACACAGGGATGCAGGGGTCCTCTCAGCCTCAGAGCCCCCGCCCCTCCACAGCCCTTCAGTGTTCAGTGCTGCCTGCTGGGGTTTGTGACAAGTGACGCAGGCTCTGACACAGGCGGCTCTGCTCTCTGGGCCGGGAGATTCTACCTGGTAAGGTGGACGGATGGCAAGGGGGTGGCGCGGTCTGGGTTTCAGGTAGCAGGATGGGGCTGGTGTGTGTGGGGAGCCTTCCCCTCTACCTGACCACCTTGCTAACTCCAAGAGCCTTCAGCTCCCCATCCCCCACAGCACTAGGACAGAGCAGGCCCAGGCCAGGCCCAGAGGCAGAGCCGGTGATGTGGGGCTGAGGGGTCTGGCTGCCTTGCACCAGTCTCTCCAAATACACTCTCTTCCTTCGTGATGCCTACAGGAAGCACAGGAGTAGCTTTACCAAAGCTCTGCCTGGAATCACCACGCTGCTGCTGACTGGAGCCAAAAAAGCAGCCCACAGGCACGCGGCTGCCCCTGCCTCCGGCCACCTGCTGGCTCCTGCGAAGTCCCTGCAGGGACACACAGCACACACAGGCCATCCCAGTCCGGTCCCTCAGCCCCTGGTCAAGTCATACAGAAATAGGACCAGGCGGTTTCTGTGTTAGGGAGGCCTTGGCTCAGAAATGGGACAGGACCAGGGACTGGCTGAGTGTGTGGGCCGGATGGGACAGGACCGGAGTTCCCACCCTCAACGCTCTCCATAATGGGTCTTCCTTGGGCCCTGACTCCCTGGCCCTACGGCACCAGCCCAGCTCAGCAAGCACCAGGAAAAGAGCTGCCTGGTCAGAGTGCCCCCTTGTGTCTATTGCCCAGATGACTGTTACCTGTACTACAAGACAGAAACAGGTGTGCTTAGTGGGGCGGCTGGGGACACCCAGCCTTCGGGGCTCCTCGCCTCCTCACCCTCCCAGTGCTGTGTCCCGGCTCCCCTCTCAAACCTGCCTGCCCAGGGCTTGCCCCATGCTCTCTAATCCAGATTCCTTCCCTAGTGAATCACTGCCCTGCCCTGCCCTGCCCTGCCCATACCAGGGCTGAAGGGAGTTGGACGAGGGGTCCAGGTCAGCCAAGTGGACAGGTTGAGCGAGATGTGGGTGGGGAGGAGGGAGCCCATCAGAGCCTTGGGGGGGGGACTTCCGCTGCAGCATCGAAGGTGGAGCCCCTCGGGTTTTAAACAGAAGAGAATTAACACGGTTTCCTCCCCTGTGCCCTCACCAAAACAAACTAAAGGGAACATGAGCCGGTGCAGGGATGGCAGTGGGACCTCGATGCGGGCGGGCGGGCAGGTGGGTGTCCTCGGCGGGACCACGGGCTTCAACAGGACACCTCCATGGTGTGGTTGACCTGGCCCAGCCCCTCACTGCTGCTGTCTGAGTGGGTGCAGGCCTGTGGGCGGCTGCCATCCACGGAGCTGGCGCTGGTGAGGGACGCGGTGCGAGAGCGCGCGAGACGGGTCATGCTGGCCGAAGGCACTGTGGACAGAGATGGGAACGGGCGTGGGTGAGTGCCAGGAGGCGGGGCGGGCGCCAGCAGGCAGGAGGACGAGGCAAGCAAAGCGGCCGGCGAGAGATGGCTTCCAGCAGCACAGAGGCCCAGCCCAAGCCAGGGCACAGGTGCTGGCTCTACCGGGCCCGAGGCATGCAGGGCCAGCGACAGTGAGGCTGCGGCCAGCAGGGCCCTTGCTCCCAAACAGCCGACCAAGGCCATGGCCAGAACGGGTGGTGCTGGGGTGTGCTGCTTCCCAGGACACCCTCTGGAGGGGGATGGTGGGGGCAGCAGGATTGCTGCTGGAAGGCGGACACAGCCCTTGGCCTGCCACGGCCTCAGCTGGGGGTGTCGCAAGTGAGACCCTCCGGAGCTCGGCCGGCCACCTGGGCCAGCCCGGGCCGTTCCTCTGAAGCAGCTCTGGCTCTCACTCCACTGCCTGGAGCAACCTAAAGCAAGACCGCTCCCAGATGCAGCCAACCTAGAGCCGTCCAGCGGGGACCCGGCCCGCCACGGACCCGGATCTGCGCGAGGGCAGGCATCTTTTAGGCGGGACACAAGAGGGCTCCAAACCACAGCGAGATGCGGCCTGGCTGCAGCACTGCGCAGAGGAGGGAGCCGCGAGAGGCTGGGCAGGGGGTCCATGCATCAGGGGAGGGCCACGGGCTACCTGCTCCTCCGCTCAGCCTTCGGTCCTTCAAGTACGCAACTGAGAGAGAAGACAGAGCCGGCGGGGGCGGGGAGACACAGAACATGGTGAAGACGGCGGTGGGCCGAGGCCGGGGCATTGAGATGGGCCGAGGACACGAGACAGAAGGGTTGGCACGGGGAAGGCCTCGGGAAGCCTGCTCTGCCCGCCCACCCGAGCAGCGGCCACAGGAACCACAGCAGGGCTGACCTCTGTCTGGCCTGAGGGAGCCCTGACAGCTGGGCAGGGGTCGGCGGGGGGCACTCTGAGGCCCTTTCGCCAGCCCAGGCTGCAGACACTGAGGGACTCACGTGGGCGAGACCACTGGGGCCCGAATCCTCCTCCTGGTGCCCATCATCCTGCTGGGCCTCGTCCCTCCCCTCCATGTAAACACAGCGGGGAGACCCTTGCAGCCTCCGGAAGCCCTCCCTCCTGCCGCTTGGGCTGCCTGGCGGGATTTTTCCCAGGACCCCTGAGAACGCAGCCCAGCGCCTGCAAGAGGTGCTCATGCATTCATCCCCCAGACGTTCACGGGGCGCCCAGGGCCCAGCTCAGAGCCCCGCTGTGCCTCCCTGCCGGCCTCGGCCTCTCTCTGCCCTACTTCCCCGCGGAGAGGCTGGCGGGCCCTGGCGGCCGCAGGGATTCTGTTCCTGGATATGTGCGCTAGCCTGCCCCGCCACGGAGACACAGGGACAACAGAAACAAGTTCAGGGGGAGGAAGTTTGCTGCCCAGCTGCCGGGAGGAGCAGGTGTGTCGGGGAGAGGAGGTAAGAGCCAGGCACTAGAGGGGTGTGTGTGTTCTTGTGTGTGCATGTGCGCATGCGTGTGTGTGCATGTGTGCACGCGTGTGTGTGCACACCTGTGCGTGCCCGTGCTGTGGGGGCCCTCGAGCAGTCTACAGTCTCCTCACCCCTGCACAAGGGGAGGTCACAGGAGAGGAGGACCAGGAAGCTGGCTCCACCCTGGGCCCCTGTTCCCTCAGAGTCTCAGGCTACCCCCAGGTCCAGCTGCCTTCAGCTCTCCTGACACCTGATGGCCCCCTCCTGTCCTCCCTGGCCTCCGAAGCCCAAGCCCACTGGATGCTGTCTACCACCTGTGACAAGAGGCCGTCTCAGGTGCCCAGGGCACAGCCATGCCCTGGGCCCAGCATGGCTATGTGTGACGTGGCCTCAGACGGGCTCCCTTGGCAAGACCCTGCGTGGGCCCAGCCCCGCCCTGCCTGGCACTGCCATCCAGTGACCCAAAGCCTCCCCAGGGCACAGTCCCAGACGGCCGACTTAAACCAAGCCTCGCTAGGACGGTCCAGCAGCTGGGACCCGGCCAGCTCGCCCCCACCCTGTGCCTGCCCGCCAGTCTCTGGGCTGGGGGTGTGCAGGGGTACTCACTGTAGCCCATGCCTTGCAGGAAGTACTTGAAGGCTTCGGTCAGCTTCCCCGGCTGCAGGAGGCAGGACAGGCACACGCTTTGATTGGCTGCTGGGGATTAGGGGGAGGGGAGAAGCTTCCCTGACCCCCAAGCCCCCTCTCCCCCGGCCCCAGGTGATACACAGGCTAGAGAGCTGAGTCTCACCTGTGTGACCTGGGGA